TGGTTTTCCCCCCCGTTGGCTGCCCCCAGCAGCTTGTATTCAAAGGTATACTGCCTCTGGCTGTGGAAGCTCCGTTTAGCTGTTGACTGACCCGTCTTCTCTGAATGTGTCAAATCAGTCCTCGGAACGTAAGATGAGCTCTCCTAGATCAGTCTGGTCTGCATATCTGCTTCTAAGAATTGCCTCTTGGAGGAAGAGCATAGATAACTTATGGAACTCACTGACCAAGAGGTAGTGGTGGCCACCATCTTTAAAAAGGGGATGGGACAGATTCAGGGAGGTCAGATCCATCACGGGGCACCTCTGAATATCAACCGAGAAGAGGCAACAACACAGGAAAGGGATTTAGCCAGTGCGCCCCGCTTCCTTCAAGAGCAACGGATGCTGGGCTAGGTAGACTATGGCCCTAATCCTGCAGGACTCTTACTAGGTTCTTAATCTTAGGTCTCAGATTTAAAAACCATTGCCTTCTCCTGTTGTGATTGTCCCCAGTGCCTGGTAAGAGAGGTAGACTGCCTCTCTACCTGAAGGTTCCATTTAGCTGGCCTGACTAACGGCCACTGATGGATGCAGTTAAGCTAGTAACCATCTCCACATTTTGGTGGCATGAATAATGCTCAAACCTCTTTTGGAACGCGCTAGCACAAGATACAGTGGTGCCCACTAGTTTTAGAGGGTTTTTAAGAAAGAGACAGGTCTGTCCATGGCTATGAGCCATGACAAATTGTTCAACTGCTTTTGCTGGTGAAATGACTGGCTACCCAGCTGGGAACTGGACTCAGCCTACCAGAAATGGTAAGATGTAAGAAAGCAGAACCCAGGAGATCCTTTCATGTTGGTGTTGAAACCCTGGCAATCCCCGTGCAACAATGTCAACATTTTTCTTGTGTGGCGTTTCACTGATGCGCAGGAACACGGGTGTGCATCACTGAAACACGGCACGAAAAGAATCCCTGGGAAAACAGAGGCACATGATCTCACCGTGGCTGTTTTGTTTGCAGTGTTTTATCAATGCACGGGTACACCCTGGTAGTGTAGAGTTGGGAGAAGGATGCAAATAAACCGAATGGCACAAAAGCTAGGGGAAACAGTATATGCGACAATTTCACATTTGATTTTAGAAATTCTGCTGCTTAAACTGGAATTGAGGAAGAGTGGGGCACAGCTCAAGAGTGGAATTCCACATTAGTAAATGGGGAAGATCTGCTTATCCATCGTGTAATCTTCTCTCCTTATTATAAAGCACTTTTCGTGTCCACGCGCCCCCACAGCCTTTGGGGCCCTCAACTGCCAGTCAGAATGGGGTGCCTGGCCACTGGCTACATGGCCTTCATCCCACCCCTCCTCCCGCCCACAGACAACCCGGCCAGCACCTCGGCCGCAGTGAGCTGGGTGGAGCGTCTGGAGGCTGAGCCCATAATCTGAGGACGCTAAAAGGAAAGATGGCCATGCTATTGAGTAGGAGGCATGACTGCTCCCTTGTGTCTCCCTAGAACAGGACTGTGCATTCAAATCCTGCGTCTTTGGGTTAGATTCCTCCAGAAACAACACCGCACACCAATGCTCCCTCTAAGCTGTGGAGTCCGGTGAGCAAAAATTCTAATTTGTGAGCTACTGGCCTTAAAGTTGTGAGTGAGTGATTTGGCTACTAAATTAGTTTGCTTTGGAGCCCTCCTTCCTGAGCAAAGACAAAAATGTGTGAGCCAGAGGCTAAAAAACTGAGCTAGCTCACACTAACTCAGCTTACAGGGAACACTGCCGCACACCAAAAAAACCACCCCTCCTGAACCCCAAAGTTGCAACCATGTTCAAAATAAAGTACATCCTCCATTGGTTAGCTGTGCAATCGGTACAGAATTACTCCAAGCCCACCGATTCCAACGACCAGAGGAACCATAGGAATGCCCTGTAAATCACAATGTGACAAGATTCATTGTTACGCCCCCCCCTCCTTCCATCCCAGCTGTCAGGAAAGTTAGTTGGAGAGTCCAGAAATTCACATACTGGTGCCTTCTTGCATGGGGGGTGGGGGTGGGGGGTAGAGACAGGGAGTGTCTGTTTGACTCTGGTTTAAGCAGCGTTTGTTTTCCTGCCGGGGTGTAAATCAGCCCCAAAGGGGACTCCTCTGAGGTGAGAAGGAGATACAGCCCACGATCCTGGGGGGGGGGGCAGTTAACGAAGTAACAAAAGGCATCTCGGAATGATGGCCGCCCTGGGAATACGTGTAAAAGGGTGGACAGATGCCCCTTGAGAAATGCAACAGAAAGGAGGGAGAAAGAGACGGTTGGAAAAGCGACGTTTCTAAAGAAAGAACGACCCAGATTCAATTTGGGATTTTTTCCCCAACTCTTCCCCCACCCTGCACCAGTTGAGCAGAATTTCTCCTTCTCTATAAGCAGAAGAAGCCGACTGCTGTCACATTCGTGACCTTAATGTGAGAACGGCCAAAAAAGAAAAGCCGTCGGGGATCAAAGAGAGCACATGCCCCGAGTACGGAAGGCCCCAGGTTCAATCCCCAGCCTCTTCTAGTTTGAAGCATCGCAAGTGACATGGCTAGAAAGACTCCAGTTTATTATTAGAAAGGAGTCCAGGAGCACCTGTCACAAATTTTGTTTGGCTTTAAGGTGCTACTGGACTCTTGCTCTTTTCTGCTGCTACAGACAGATGAACAGGGCTACCCATATTGATCGATCTCAGATTATTATTATTATTATTATTATTATTATTATTATTATTATTGCCTTCCTCTGCATAGCAACCCTGGTATTCCTTGGAGGTCTCCCATACAAATACTGAGCAGGGCCGACCCTGCTTAGCTTCCAAGATCTGACAAGATCTGGCTAGCTTGGGTTATCCAGGTCAAGGCAATTCCGTAAGTACTTAGACTATTAATTTGGTGCTTCGTTTAAGGTAATTCCAGGCTTTCTCACATGCTTGCTTGCAGGAATTTCCAGCCTCAGCCTCTAGCATCTCCAGTGCCAAAGAAGGGAAGAAGAGATTGGAAGGAAGGAGTCTCAGAGCGGCTTACCATCTCCTTCCCCTCCCCCTCCGCACAACAGACACCCTGTGAGGTAGGTGGGGCTGAGAGAGCTCTCTCGAGGACTGCTCTTTCCAGAACGGCTCTTGAGAGAACTGTGACTGGCCCAAGGTCACGCCAGCAGCTGCAAGTGGAGGAGTGGGGAATCAAACCCGGTTTTCCCAGATTAGAGTCCACACTCCTAACCACTACACCAAACTGGGTCTCAATGCAAAAGACCACAGGAAGGCAAAACCTCTTTGTCGGCAGCCTTGGAGGTGGAAGATCAGCACATGAGAATAAAGGGTCTGGTCCACATTTTTTTAAAAAGAGTTAGCTTTTTTTACTTACTAGGAAATGAGCTTCCAAATCAACACGTTAAGGGCCAACATGTGAGCTACACAGTTCCTAGGCCACACCTCCCCTCCCCATCCAAACTGAAAGCCAGTTTGGTGTAGTGGTTAAGTGTGTAGACTCTAATCTGGGAGAACCAGGTTTGATCCCCCACTCCTCCACTTGCAGCTGCTGGATGACCATGGGTCAGTCACTGTTCTCTCAGAGCTGTTCTCTCAAGAGCTCTCTCAGCCCCACCTACCTCACAGGGTGTCTGCTGTAGGGAGGGGAAAGGAAAGGAGTTTGTAAGCCGCTCTGAGACTCCAAGTGAAGGGCGGGGTATAAATCCAATCTCCTCCTCCCTCCTCCGCCAAGCACCTTACTTCAAACTGGATTTCCCCCCCATTCACTTCCCATTCCATAGTAGAGTTATACAGAACTCTCTGAAGATTACGTTTCATGAAGCGTGTTACTGCAGACCTTGGAGGATGTTGTGTCTGCTGACCGCCACCAGCGGCCAGCGAACTCCCCAGAGCTTGACTCTGGGAGAACAATGGGAACTAGGCTCCTAGTCCCTCCACTGGGGAACCAATGGGCACCGTGGCGGGAGATTCAAACCCACCAACGAGACCCAGGGGTGTGTCCCCAGGGTGTATATAGTTGGCCTGTGGCCGTTAGAGCTAGTTCGTGTGGTGTACCAATAAAGCGTGCTATGCACTATGTCCGTCTTTGTCCTTCTTACATGCTGCTAACCCACTACACAATAGAGGAAGTTAATGAAAGGCAACACAACAAGAGGAATCTTCATGGTGATATGCTGTGACCCAAACAGGTGTGTCCACATGGCAGATACGGGGAATCACACCCTAAGCTGAAACTGTGCTGGCATAAAAAGCTCTTATGCCCCCAACATACCTAATTTATGTCAATTAGTACACTGCATTCTTTTAGCCACCGATTCAACCACTCACACAAATCAATATTACAAAAGATACACAGAGGTAACAGCACTCAGCTGCTACATCCAAACATCAGCATGACGGACGGTTCTCTGCACTGATTTCAGTGAGCGTCTGCCTAAATAATGCACCAGCTGATGCCAACAAGACTACCACGTTCATTAGAACTCTTTTTTTTCCACTCAGCAAAGATATCGGTAGCAACTCGCACAGAGACACAATGGGCAACCTCTTCTGAAAATAAGCAACCTCTGCTGCTTATGGGGAGGAACCGAATGCTCCAGGATGGAGACTGGGCTGTATTACTGCCTGCTCCACCAAAGGCGCGTCCAGCGCAGTGAATCATACAGAGGCACAGCAGGCAGACTCCTCTAAATGGGCGGGTGCTTTGGGCTCCCCAGAGTCTGTTCTCTCATCTGCAACAGGTGGGTACTGACTGCAGTGATGATGGAATACAGAGATGCTTATAGGGGAGGAAATTACATTACCACTGCATCCACCGGGGGTCTCATAACGACGACTACGATAGTGTATGTGAAGTGTTTTAAACTCTGGACGTGTCGCAGAAACGCTGAGTGTTATTACTGTAAAAACCAAGGCACAGAAAAAGCTGGGAGGGGGGTTGCGATTAAGGGTCATAAGCCAAGACCTTACGGACACAACAGAGAGATGAAAACTAAACCACTACTCACCTGCAAAAGGGTCTGCGGGCCACAAGGGATTGTCGATGAGCGGGAGAAAACACAGAGAGAGGAAAGGAGAATTAAATCAGGAAGGTGATTTATAAACAAACACAGGGCCTTTTTTTTGTAGAAGAAGCCCAGCAGGAACTCATTAGCATAATCGGCCACACCCAACAGCAGACACGAATTAGCATATTAGGCCACACCCCCATGACTTCATTTGGCTTGCCCGGGCCGGGGAAGGCATGGGGAGGCATTTAAATGCCTCCCCGATTCTTCCAGGGCCCCCCCCCCGGCCCGCCCACCTCAGAGCCACCGGGGGGGTCGCTCTCCAGGCCTTCCCTCTGTAGCCACGCACACAGAGGTTGTGGCTGTAGTGGGCGTGGCCAACTCTGAAGCCAGCCGGAACTCCGTTCGTGTGCGTTCCTGCCCCAAAATAGCCCTGAACTAACAGCTACTCCACTGAAGGGTGCCACCCTTGGGGCCTGGAGACCTCGCAGAATGACAACTCGTCTCCAGACAACAGAGATCCATTCCCCCGGAGGAAACGGCTGCTCTGGAGGGCGGACTCTGTGGTATTCCGCCACGCTGAGGTCCCTCCCCTCTCCAAACCCTGCCCTCCCCAGGCTCCGCCCCCAAAGCACCAGGAATTTCCCAACCCACAGTCACCACCCCCTGACCCCACACCACTCACCCACTGCCTGTTCCCAGTTCAAACATACCCTCCTCCCTCGCGGACCCCATTTGAGATCTTATGGCAGATCTCCCCACAACTACCTCTCACGCAGTTGCTCGAGTGAGCCAACTGTAGCCCCCCCCACAAGCTGTTGGGGCTCACGTTCCAAGCCCCGCCTCTAGGGTGGACCCATCTCTCCACTGTGGCTCCAAAGGTGGAGCTGCTCTGGTGCAGCGATTACAGGAGGAACCAGGTTTGAACCTCCAATCTGCCAGGGAAGCTTGCTGCATGACCAATTTGGTGTGGTGGTTAAGTGAGCGGATTCTAATCTGGGAGAACCGGGTTTGATTCCCCACGCCTCCACTTGCAGCTGCTGGTGTGACCTTGGGTCAGTCACAAGTTCTGTTAGAGCTGTTCTCTCAAGGGCAGTTCTCTCAGAGCCTCCTCAGCCCCGCCTAGCTCACAGGGTTTCTGTTGTGGGGAGGGGAGGGGAAGGGGAAAGGAGATCGTAAACCGCTCTGAGACTCCGAGAGAAGGGCGGGATATAAATCCAATTTCTTCTCTTCTTCTTCTTCTTGGGCCAGCCATTTACTCTCTCACCGATTTCACACAAGCGCTGCGCCGCAGTTGCGCTTCCCTTTGCCCCGCTTCTATTGGTCAATTTCCCACGCGAAGCTGTGTGGCCGCATTTTGACCCGCGGCTTCACCCGATTTTCCCCGCGGTTTCGTGATCCTCCCAAGATCCAGAGGTCATTTCGGGGGGGAACGTGGGGGAACACAGTTCCCCCGGGTGAGGTACCGGGGGGCGGGGCACATGACGAAGCCCCACCCCCTGCTTCCGGCCGCCCCGCTTCCGGCCCTCATTCAGCCAGGAGGAGGCAGGAGAAGAGGGAGGGTAAGTTGCTTCCTCCCTGCCTCTCCCCACCCCTGCCTGCCTGGGGCCAGGGAGGGCCTTCGCGGGGCTTCCTTGCACTCCCGCCGGCCTTGGGGGTGTGGCCTTATGACACACTTCCAGTGATGTCAGGGGGTGTGGCATATGCTAATGAGTTATGCTAATGAGTACCCCTAGCTCTTTTTCTACGAAATGACCCCTGCCAAGATCCAATGTGTTGTGCTGCTGAGACTCTTGGCAGGAAGCAAGGTGGGCAAGGGGAGGGGTTTGGCCCTTGCCCTGTCAACCCCCCACACATTCCACTCAACAGAATATCCTTCCGGCAAAACTAGCTGCTGACCAGGCATCCACATTTCCCCAGCTGAGCTATATCAGACGTGGAATGTGTCTGAGCCATGATTTTGCGTCGACAGCAAAATCCATCGCCGCCTTGCCCTCTGCCCCCCCCATCTCTAGGGAAACCCCTCTGCACTCCGCTCCTTGCCCCCATGTCTGAGAGCCCGCTTCTTAAAGTATGAAATT